ATGATGGTGTGTGCCTATAATCCCAGCTACTCAGGAGACTGAGGCAGGAGAGTTTTTTGAAGCTGGGAAGATGGAGTTGCAGTAATCTGAGATCAGGCCACTGCCCTCTAGCCTAGGCAACAGAGCCAGACTCTGTCTCAAAAAAAAAAAAATTATTGATTGTAAGCCAAATGTGGTGACTCACACCTGTCATTCCATCACTTTGGGAGGTTAAGGTGGGTGGATCACTTGAGGTCAGGAATTCAAGACCAGCCTGGCCAACATGGGGAAACTCTGTCTCTATGAAAAATACAAAAATTAGCCAGGAAGTAGTGGCAGGCGCCTGTAATCCCAGCTACTCAGGAGGCTGAGACAGGAGAATTGCTTGAGCCCGGGAGGCAGAGCTTGCAGTGACCTGAGATCACATCACTGCACTCCAGCCTTGGTGACAGAGTGAGATTCTATTTCAAAAAAAAAGAAAAAAATTGTTTATTGTAGTAAAATACATGTAACACAATTTACCATCTTAACCATTTTTAAGTCTATAGTTCAGTGTTAAATACATACCATCCACAGATTAGGAGAAAACATTTGGAATATATAAAGAACAAAAATCACAATTTGTTTTGCTAGGCTTAGATATTCATACTCTATGTATGCCAAGGTGAGAGGATCACTTGAGGCCAGGAGTTGGAGACCAGCCCAGCCACTCTCTTGCCAGTATCCCTTGATGCACAAAATTTTTTAATTTGATGAAATACAATTTAGTTTTCGTTTTGTTGCCTGTGTTTTTGGCGTTAGAGCCAAAAAATCACTGCCAGATCCAATGTCATGAAGATTATTCCCTATGTTTTCTTCTAGAATTTTATAGTTATAACTCCTAAATTTAGGTATTTGATCCATTTTGAGTTAATCTTTTTATATGATGTCAGATAAAAGTCCAACTACTTCTTCTTCTTGTATTGGATATCCAGTTTTCCCAGCACCATTTGTGGGAAAGTCTGTCATTTCCACATAGATGGTATTGGCACCCATGCAAAAATCAATTGATCATATACACAAGTGGATACTTTAAAAGTACAATGGGAAATTATGGATATTAGTAATCAAGGCTTCTAGGAGTCTCTACATTGACTTTCTTAAGCCCTTTTGGAAGTGATAGACGCAAATGAGAAAAGGGAATTCTAAACTCCAAAAACCCCTTTACTAAGAGCAAAACATACAGTAGTGAACATTAAACTTGGCGTTTTTTTAACAAGAAACTATAGGGAAAATAAAAGTTTTGGTAGGAAGTGGAAACTCAAGAAACGAACCAAAGAAGAGAGGAAGTTAAGGAAGTTTTCAATAGAGATGAAGAAATACAAAGGCTTCAATAGAAAAAGAGAAAGGAATAAGAAGAAAATGAAAGGGCTAGGCACGGTGGCTTACACCTGTAATCACAGCATTTTGGGAGGCTGAGGTGGGAGGATCAGTTGAGGCAAGGATTTTGAGCCCAGACTAGCCAACATGGTGAAAACCCATCTCTACTAAAAATACAAACATTATCCAGGCACAGTGTCAGAAGCCTGTAGTCCCAGCTACTCAGGTGGCTGAGGTAGGAGAATCACTTAAACCCAGGAGGCAGAGGTTGCAGTGAGTGGAGATCCCACCACTCCAGCCTGGGCAACAGAGCGAAAGACTGTCTCAAAACAAACAAACAAACAAACAAACGAAAAACAGAAAAAAAATTTGTGGTGTATTTACATAAGGGAATACCATTCAGCAATAAGAGGAATTAACTGTTGTAACACACAACCACATGGATTAATCTCAAAATAATTATGCTGACTGAAAGCAGCCAGACCAAAACACAGTGCATACTGGCCCATCAAACTGTATACATTAAATAGGGTGCAGTTTTTTGTATGTCAAAAATTCCTCAATAACACTGTAAATAAAGTATATACTGAATGATTTCATTTAAACAAATTATGGAAAAAGCAAATTGATCTATAGTGACAGAAAACGAATCAGTGGTTCCCTGGTGCAGCTGAGCAGAGTGATGTGAGGGTGATTTTTGGATTAGGGTATGAAGAAATGTTTGTGGATGATTAATATGCTGATTATCTTGAATGTGGTGAAGGTTTCACAGGTGATGTTTCCACGTATGTCAAAACTTATTCAATTTTTCATTTTCAGTATGTGCAGTTTTTATATGTCAATAAAGCTGTGCTAAACAAAAGCAATTTTTGCTTTTGTAACATAAGTGGAACTGAAAATCTGTATCCATTCTTTGTCAGAATTCCTATATCTTTCATCATATCCTTGTAATCTTTTTCTCACTTTGTATAGTAAAGAGAAGTGAGCTCATGAGATTCAGAGCAATACCCTCACACTTTAAAGTTAAGTTTCCTCTGTGTGTGCAGGCACTATTAGCAGCCTACCCAACAGGTGTCTCTCTTCCCTGTCAGAGTCCACTTTCTCATATTATAGGCTGACAATGCCTGGACTAGTAACCCAATCAAGGCCAGTGACACCGGAAGAGAAGTTTACTGTGGGCATTCTGGGGAAGATTTTCCACCCTGGTTAAAAGAGAAACATGTGAAATGTCCCTCCTTCCCGCCTTTGAATGTTGTTATAGGAAGATATAGCTGGGCACAGTGACTCACATCTGTAACTCAGCACTTTGGGAGGCTGGGGTGGGTAGATCACTTGAGGTCAGGAGTTTGAGGCCAGCCTGGCCAACATGATAAAACCCTGTCTCTACTAAAAATACAAAAATTAGCTTGGTGTGGTGGCTGGCGCCTGTAATCCCAGCTATTCAGGAGGCTGAGCCAGTAGAATAGCTTGAACCCAGGAGGTAGAGGTTGCAGTGAGCCAAGATACCGCCACTGCATGTCAGCCTGGGTGACAGAGCAAGACTCTGTCTCAAAAAACAAAAACAAAAAAGATATAATGTTTTCAGGTATGGGAGACTTTTTGCAACTATGAAGGGAAAACCAAGAATCTCAGAGAAGTCAACCAGAAACCCTGACAGTGTTTTCCTGCTAAATTAATCAACCTCTAGATTTCTTGTAATATGGAATAATACCTAGAACCATCTACCTCTAGATTTCTTGTAATATGGAATAATATACTCCTCATTTTCCAGAAGCTACTTTAGTTGCATATTTTGTTACTTGCAGTTGAAAACAGACATTTAATGACATTAGTAATTAAAATAACTGACTAAGATGATAACCTGAAATGGGTGGTTACACAGTTTTAGCAACATTTAAATTTTAGTCAAGATATTTAATTGTATCCTTTCTGAAGAAAGAGCATAGTAGTCAATAAGGCAGTGGCCCCTTCCAAATCTGTCCACCTAGCTCAGCTATTTCTTCCTAGTAGAGGCCAATGAATGCCCTGTGAGTGCCTGCAGGAGACACCACAAAGCTGTCAGCAATGCAGGAGTTAGCCTGTTCGGAACCATGGCAGAGGAACTGTCCATGTTTGCCTCCTGTTATGATATGGCCCTGGGCACAGTGGCAACAAGAACTTGCCTAAATTGTTGCCTTAGCATCTATGGATTTGATGTCCAAACTAACTTTCACTTACACCTTTCAGTAATGGTGGCTCCCACAGCTGCTCCTTCACACTGCAGGTGACTGCCCAGATTGCAAAATTAGGTTGTGCAAGCAACATCCAGCCAGGAATCCTAGCCAATGAAGCAGATTGGGTCCATGTGACTACTTAACAGAAGAAACAGCTTCCACTTGAAGGTCCAAACAAAGATTTTTAAGCTCCTGTAAAGCACTTTGCAATCCTTTGTTAAAGGAGGTAGAATCACAATTTGTTTTGCTAGGCTTACTAGGCTTAGATATTCATACTCTATGTTACTTGAGGCAAACTGAAATTTTGTACTGGATTTTGTATTCATTTCTTAGATTTCCAGTTTCTAGAGGAGAGACTGGCCAGGTGCTGTGGCTCAGGCCTGTAATCCCAGTAGTTTGAGAAGCCAAGGTGAGAGGATCGCTTGAGGCCAGGAGCTGGAGACTAGCCTGGTCAACATGGTGAGACCGCATTTCTACAAAACATTTCAAAAATTAGCAGGGCATGGTGGTGAGCACCTAGGGTGCGAGGATCTCTTGAGGATCCTAAAAGGTGGAAGCTGCAATGAGCCATGACTGCACTACTGCACTCCAGGCTGTGCAACAGAAGATCCTGTCTCAAAAAAAACAAAACCAACCAACCAAAAATCAAAAAAGTTAAAGGAGAGGTGATCTATCTTTAACGGATTCAATTGTTTAATTATATGCTTTCATGTGTATAGTTTCTGGCAACAAGATCATAAACCTTTCTCCTCCAGCACCAAGCCCAGTGCTTTGTAGCCAAGATTCCACAATATAATGACTAAGAAAAACAGGAGTAATAAAACATAGAAATCAATAGCAAATTATAACATGTTCATAAACAAGCTAGGTAATTGGTTTATGAATGCTATATGTGTGTGTGTTTGTTGTTGTTCGTTTGTTTGAGACGAATCTTGCCCAGGCTGGACTGCGGTGGTGCGATCTCGGCTCACTGCAACCTCCGCTGCCTGGCTGCAAGCGATTTCTCCCGCCTCAGCCTTCCGAGTAGTTGGGACTACAGGCACGCGCCACCACAGCCAGCTAATTTTTTGGCATTTTTTGTAGAGACGGGGGTTTCACCATGTTGGCCAGGCTGGTCTCGAACTCCTAACCTCAAGTGAGTTGCCGGTCACGGCCTCCCAAAGTGCTGGGATTACAGGCGTGAGCCAATGCGCACTGCCTTTTAGGGCATATTCTGCTCGTTTGCATTCACTGCAAACTGGTAGATTAATCACTGACTAACTCTAGCAGAGATACTCCTGAGCCTGAAAGCCCCTGCGGAAGTCACAAAGTCCCCAACATAAACTTGTGTGGCACAGGGCGGCGCCGCACAGCGCTAACAAGTAACAGAGCGAAAGTGCAGGTCTAACCGCCCCCCGCAAGCCCCTGCCTTCAGCCCCCCTTCGCACCCGGGGAGGGGCGGGGCCGCGTACCGGAAAAGGCGGGGCCACCGGAGTGCCTAAGTGCGGCTCTCGGACGCAGCGCTTCCTTTCTCGCGCGGCCGGCGAGGGAGAAAGCAGAGTAAAGAGCCGTCGATCATGTTGATGTGGCGGTGGCGGAGCCTGAGGGCCAGTCGCTGGGCTCTGCGAGGTGAGAGTGATTGCGGTCTTAGTTCCCCCTACCCTACGTGCGGGTTCCTCCGCCATGTGGGTGCAGAGCGCGGCCCCTGTGCCTTCCCCAGTCGCCAGCGGAGCGGGCGGCGGCTGCGTAGGCCGAAAGGCTACGCTCCCAGCGCCAAGGTCCACGAGCTTAGTTCCTGAGCCATCTGCGCAGTCGCGTTTTGAGAGTAACCACCCTGAGAGGCTTACCTGACCTTGTTCCATCAACATCGCTTCACTGTCCTCTCTGCTCAGAAACTGGTCAAGAGCCTTGTGACTTAAGAAGGCGCCTGCAAGGGACCACCGGGGGCTTTGTGCTCCACCCGGCCTTGGCCACCTCTCTCTTGTGTACCCAGCAAAGCTGTGCGTGCGGCCTTGGCGGTTTCAGGCCTTTAGTAGGCAGCCTATTTTCCTTAAAAGGGAGCATTTTATATATGGGGAGATGACGATCCCTTAGATGTCAGGATGACCCTTATTTAACCGTACTTTGTGAGTGGCTTTGGAATTTTAGTAAGCACGGTTTACAGTCAGTACTAGTCACGGCCCATTCATAGAGGTAGTCGGTGTTTGTAATAGGCTCCAAAGTCAAGGCGTGGAGGTTGGAGAACTTGGACAACACGTGCAAGTATAGAAGGCCCTTAGGCTAAATGCCTGCCACACACATAGAGATGCTTACATTTACATAGAGACGTGTATTTCTGGACATAATACAGAAGAAACCGGGTCAGCCCCTGGGGGCCTGGAAAAACCTGCTAGCTATTCAGAAACTTTTTTTTTTTTTTTTTTTTTGAGACAGTCTCATTCTGTCGCCCAGGCTGGAGTGCAGTGGCGCAATCTCGGCTCACTGAAACATCCGCCTCCCGGGTTCAAGCAATTCTATGCTTAAGCTTCCCGAGTAGCTGGGATTGTAGGCGCCCGCCACCACCCCTGTACTGCAGTGGTGCAGTCTCGGCTCACTGCTACTTCCACCTCCTGGGTTCAAGCGATTCTCCTGCTTCAGCCTTCTGAGTAGCTGGGATTACAGGCATGTGCCACCATGCCCGGCTAATTTTTTGTATTTTTAGTAGAGACAGGGTTTTGCCATATTGGCCAGGCTGGTCTCGGAACTCCTGGCCTCAGGTGATCCGCCCACGTAGTATTAAAAGGCGTGAGCCGCCGGGCCCCGCCCAATTTTTAAGCTTTGTAAAGATAGAGTCTAGTTCCAAGTCATTTAATATTGCTTTGGCAATTATTTATTCTCCTGGGGTGCTGTATGATATTTTGCCCAGGCCATGCCCTTTGCAGTATTCGGTTAACTTGGGACTTAATTTTACAGGAATGTGTCCAGTAAAAATGCCAACATAAGTATCTCTGCTCTAAAAACTGCTAGATTTGCCATTATAATCTTTTTAGGTGAAAGTCTTCATGCTAGTTTTTATACATCTAACCTGGCTTATAGTTCATCCGGGTCAAGCTGTGAGACAGAAAAGCAGTGGCTGTGTACTCACTGGGACAATTGTGTCTGCTTCCCAGGTTCAAATAATTTTTATTCCTCTGCCTCCCCAGGTGCTGGGATTATAGGCGTGAGCCACCACACCCAGCCAGTACTTTTTTATTAAAAAATGGGTTAGGGGTCTGAAAGGTAGGTTGCAAGTACCTAATGAGATTCTCTTCCTGGACCGTTCGTACATATAAGATGCCAAACAAATGCAAATAAAAATGGGAATTCAGAATGTAATATTTAATTTCCAGGTGCAAGAAAGCCTTTGAGTTGAAGATGTATGAAGGTCATCATGACAGATGTTTTCCAAAAACTTAAAAAAGTCTGTGAAATAACTACTAGGATCATACAGCATGTATTGAGGTACCTAAAATTAATGTTATGTATTCTTGACAGATAGGATTAATAGCTGGCACAATGATGACTTAAATTATTTTTTGCCGTTTACCCAGCTGAGGGTGTCTTTGAAGAAATAATTTTAATTAAGACTGAGATGCCAGTAATCTACATTGATTAATTACTGACATGCATGCAAGGCAATATTTAATTAAGAGGGGTGAATGAATATTCTTTTTTTTTTAGCATATAGGTTGCTGTAGATGAATGTTCTTCACTGTTGTATTTAAAAATACTTCTGCTTTGCTGCCTCAAGTAAGTGTGATTTGTCAAGCAACTGTATCTGCCGATAGTTCAGAAAGTATCTGATAAACTCCAAAGGGTGGGGGCCAATTCTTGTTGACTTGCCTTTGCATGTGTGTATTCTCAACATTAATTTTTGAGGGGCACTTGTTAATATTGAGGTTATATGAGAACTTTGAGTATGGAATGATTTTCACGGTTGGTTTCTGACTTTGTTTTGGAGGTGTGGCATGCAACATTTTGGAAAGAAAATTGAAGACTGTCAAGAAAACATGAACAGAAGTAAATGATGAAATGAGTATTTTATTTGATGTTGATAAACATCACAATAAATTATGGAGAAAATATGTGTTTGGCTAATTGTTTAAATTGCTGAACAATAAATTGTTTTCTTTTAAATCCGCTCTAAAGAGCTCCATTCTCATACTCACTAGTCAGGCCTGTTTTTAACATACTCGAAACAATATAATCTTGTCAATAATTGGCTTATTTGTGGGTGGTGATTCTCATTGAGGCGAACAGGTGGGGAAACATTGTTTGTACCTCTAGGTTTCCTGTTTGGCCTCCCCTTCAGAGCCTGCTGTTGTGCCAGGTGGTTGGATTCTTAAAACTTCTTAATGCCAAATAGCAATCGTTTCACCTTATTCAGTTTGCTTTTCATCTTTGTGAACGAAAAGTCATCCTAATACTAGTACACATAATAACTAAGCAATATGCTGTGTTATGAGAAATAAGACTGAACCAGGCCAGTCTGTCTAGGACTAAATTGGTAAGAATTCTAAAGCTGAATTTATATCTGGGTGAATGAAGGCTTACAGCTAAATCTTCTGTTGAGTACTGGCTTATAAATTACTTTTACCAAGGTTATAATTTGCATGTGATACATGATATAAAACCTATATAGCAACATCTTAGTTCCCTCAAGTATAGACTTGTGGGGTATAAGTACAGTTTGGTTGCATGGGTATATGAAGTAGTTTGGAGTCAGATTTTTGTGCAGCCATTACCTGAATGGTGTAGTTTGTACCCATTAAGTAATTTTTCACCCCACTCCCTTCTAATTATCCAATAACTTTCAAAACACCATTGGCATCATATTTAATATTAATGTATTACCTCCTGTAATTGTTTATCTTTCTGAATGTACACTTACACTCTTTAGGTACTGAAATAAAAGATTTAGTAAATGCAACCCCTGTAATGAGAAATGTAAACATTTAATTTTTTGTATGGAAGTGGCCCTCTTTGAGACTGAGGTTGGGAGGGTCCTTTGAGCTGGGGAGACTAAGGTGGCAGTGAGCTGTGGTTGCATCAGTACACTCCAGCTTGGGTAACAACTATATAAATATAGATAAGTAAATAAGTCATTTTTGTGCCATGCATGGTGGCTCACCCTTGTAATCCCATCGCCTTGGGAAGCTGAGGTACTGGGATGGGAGGAATACGTTGAGACCAGCCTGGAAAACATGGTAAAACCCCATCTCTACAAAAATGTAAAAATTAGCCCAGGTGGTGGCATGTGCCTGAGCTACTTGGAAGGCTAAGATGGAGGAATTGCTTGAGACTGCAAGGTCGAGGCTGTAGGAAGCTGAGATGGTGCTATTGCACTCCATACTGGGTGACAGCCCCTGTCTCAAAAAATGTTTTTAAACTTTCAAATTGTAAAAGGATCCTAGTTTCATAAAATAGGAATGTGTTTTGACTTCACCCCATACAGAGCCAGAAATATTTGAAATGTATTTGAGATGCAAAATAAAGGTCAACATTATAGAACTGTAATGTAAATATGTTGTTGAACACTACCTTTGTTGGTGAGTGCGTTGGCTCACACCTGTAATCCCAGCACTTGGGGAGACTGAGGCAGGCAGATCATCTGAGGTCGGGAGTTTGAGACCAGCCTGGCCAACATGGGGAAACCCTGTCTACTAAAAATTCAACAATTAGCTGGTTGTGGATCGCACGTGTAATCCCAGCTACTTGGGAGACTGAGGTAGGAGAATTGCTTGAATGCAGGAGGTGGAGATTGCAGTGAACCAAGATTGCCCTATTGTACTCCAGCCTGGGCAACAGAGTGAGACCCTATCAAAAACCAAAAATACTACCTTTGTCTTCTGAAAATTAATACTGTTAAGTCCCTGCTACTAGTTAGGTATTCAATAGTAGTGAACAACTTCCTCTGGAGAGTGGGAGAGGTCCAGCTGCATAGTTAAGCAGCCTTATGAAGGGATCAATTTTGAAAGAATTGATGCATGGTAGCATCTTGATTAATAAAGCGGCAATTTGGTAATGACATTCTGCTTTTCTGTGAATAGAACTGATCTTTTATTAAAGTTATGAAAACTGAACTAAAAAGTATTTATAAATTTTACAAGATAGGTTTGTTTATTCATGATGCCCCTATCTTTTTTTTTTTTTTTTTTTTTTGAGACGTCTCCCTCTTTTGCCAGCCTAGAGTGCAGTGGCACAATCTCAGCTTACTGCAACCTCTGCCTCCTGTGTTCAAGCGATTCTGCCTCAGCCTCCTGAGTAGCTGGGGCTACAGACGTGCACCACCATGCCCAGCTAATTTTTGCATTTTTAGTAGAGACAGGGTTTCACCATGTTGGCCAGGATGGTCTCAATCTCAACCTCACGATCAGCCCACCTCAGCTTCCCAAGGTGTTGGGATTACAGGCAGGAGCTACCTTGCCCAGCCAATGCCCCTATCTTTTCAAGGCAGGTATCTTCTCTCCAAAAATGAGGACTAGATTTGCAAATTGGTTTATTTGCCTTTTGGAACCTTTCTTGTAATCAGTTAGGATTAAAGAACCAATTTATAAGTTATTAGCTCCTTGGTTTCCTGTATTTTTTTCATTTAACCTGGCATATACATAAGGAAAACTTCCAAGGCTTTTCCTGATTCCATATTTAGGGCTTCTAAAACAGTGGTATGTAATGGACATGTCAATAATAAAGTATGAAAAGGCCTTACATTTAAATCTTCACGTATAAAGTTTTTACTCATCAGTTTAGCAAGTTCACAAATGGAAAAAAAATTTTTAAATAATTTGTAGGTAAAGAGATTGCCGTCTTGTGACAATAGAATGAACTAACATAAAGGTTGCCATTTTTCATATTGCTTACATTGCAACATTCTTTACATTTTTATCTGTTCACTGGTATTCTGGGCTAACCACAAGGTTTTTCTTTATAGTATTCTTGACAACTTTATCATTTCAAATTATTCTAAGTTTTAAAATTCTTTTGGTTTTAGAGGTTTGGATTAGTATTTATCCTGCTAGCAGTTTTGAGGGGACTATATTTTGCATTTTTAAAAATAGTATTGTAATATATTCCTGTACACAGTATTAATGGAAGCATTAATTCAAAGTCACTCTCAAAATACTCACACTTTTTCTCCACTGCTTAGGTAGGAAAGAACAAAAATTCCTCAAATTACTTATTCATCACTAGAGAAAATAGTCGTCCCAGGTCCATATGTGGCAATAAACTGTTCCAGCTGTTGTTGGCACTGAGTCAGATAGAGATCCCTTTGCTCTAAGTATTCTTCATTATACAGTTCAAATGGAAATACTGCATTCGGAGCAACACAAAATACAGTGGCCCCTAAATGAAGAAGATAATAGAGTGTAAATGACAAATACTCCTTAAAATGACACATATGAAATCACATTTTCAACCAAAATACTTTAATATAATCTTAAAAATTAAGTCTGAGCCCGTGTGATTCTGTGAAAAATAAAAGCTAAAAAATTAAGTTATGACCTGTTCAGTAGAGTATTTCAATAATCATTGAAATCTGACTCTTGTTTTCTGAAACCCAGAAAGCAGGTTCAGTAAATGCACAAACATTGGTACCAGGGCCAATGGAAGAAGTATGTCGATGTTTATATTTTAAGGTTTGAAACTATAGAAATTTGTCTTCTACTGAAATAGTCATTATAGTTTTGAAGCCAAAGAGTGATGTGAGGAGGTGAAAGGAGTAGGGAGAAAAGGCACTGGAAGGTAGGGAAGCACTAATCTTTATTTGATAAAGCTTAAATGGATGATCAAAGATAGAAGACATTGTAGTACATTTCTCAGTTGTTAAAACCATTCACAGGCCGGGCGCGGTGGCTCATGCCTGTAATCCCAGCACTTTGGGAGGCCAAGGTGGGTGGATCACGAGGTCAACAGATCGAGACCATCCTGGTCAACACGGTGAAACCCCGTCTGTACTAAAAATGCAAAAAATTAGCTCAGCATGGTGGCGCGTGCCTGTAATCCCAGCTACTCAGGAGGCTGAGGTAGGAGAGTTGCCTGAACCTAGGAGGCAGAGGTTGTGGTGAGCCGAGATTGTGCCATTGCACTCCAGCCTGGGTAACAAGAGCCAAACTCAGTCTCAAAAAAAAAAAAAAACCATTCACGTAAAGGCAGACATTAATCTATAGAAGGGTTTTAAGAACATTTTATGGGAAAAGGACAAACTCACTTTAGATTTGGCAATGATTTCATTGATGAAATCTATATTTGATGGAATGTGACATCAAAAGTACGGGCACCAAAAGAAAATATAGATAAATGGGACCACATCAAAATTTAAAACTGCATAAAATGATGCAATCAACAGTGAAAAGGCAACCCATGGAATGGGAGAAATACTTACAAATCATATCTGATAAAGGGGTCTGTAAATCCACAATAAGAAAACAATCATCAAAAAAATGAGCAGAGGACTAAAGTAGACATTTCTCTAAAGTAGAACAAATGACCAATAAGCATATGAGAAAGATGCTCAACGTCCCTAATCACTAGGAAAACACAAATTAAAACTATAATGAGATACCACCTCACACCCAGAAGGATTTATTATAAAAATAAATACAGGTGGCCCACGCCTGTAATCCCAGCACTTTGGGAGGCCAAGGTTGGTGGATCACAAGGTCAGGAGTTCAAGACCAGCCTGACCAATATGATAAAACCCTGTCTCTACTAAAAAAATGCAAAAATTAGTTGGGGTGGTGACACGTGCCTGTAATCTCAGCTACTCAGGAGGCTGAGGCAGGAGAATCACTTGAACCTGGAAAGCGGAGGTTGCAGTGAGCAGAGATGGCACCACTGCACTCCAGCCTGGGCGACAGAGTGAGATTCTGTCTCAAAAAATAATAAAAATAAAAAACAGAAAATGACAAGTGTTGGAGAGGATGTGGAGAAATTGGAACCTTTGTGCACTGTTGAGAATAGGCAATGGTACACCCACTGTGGAAAACAGGATGGCAGTTCATCAAAAAGAGTAAACAATTACTGTATGATATGGCAGTTTCACTTCTGGGTATATACCCAAAAGAAGTGAAAGCAGGGTCTCAAAGAGAATATTAGCACACCCATGTTCATAGCAGTGTAATTCACAATAGTCAAAGATGGAAGCAACAGAAATATGCATTGACAGGTGAATGGATAGACAAAACACTGTATTTACATACAATAGGGTATTATTTGGCCTTAAAAAGGAAGGAAATTCTAATACATGCATAATACGGATAAACCTTGAGAACATTATGCTAAATCAAATAAGCCAGTCATGAAAGGACAAATGTATGATTCCACTTATATGAGGTACCTAGAATAGTCAAATACATAGAGGCAGTAGAGTTAATGGTTGCGGGGGGGGGGGGGGGCGGGTAGAGGAGGAAATGAGGAGTTAATGTTTAATGGGTAAGCAGTTTCAGTTTGGAAGGTGAAAAAGTTCTGGAGATGAACGAACAGTGGTGACAGTTGCACAACAGCAAATGTGAATATACTTAACACTACAGAACTGAACATTTTAAAATGGTTAAAATAAGTAGATTTTATGTATATTTTACTTCAATTTAAAAATTGACCATGAAGAGTTAAGTTCTTCTTTTCTTCATTAATTCATTGAACAAATACTTAAATGTGACAGGTCAAGCGTACAGTTGCTAGCCAAACAGTGACTACCTTCCTAGAGCCTCTTAAGAGCCTCAGACTTCTGACTGCTCCCTTTCCTACTTAACCTTCTCTGAAAGCTTACTGTTCCTTAAGAACACTGCTTTCCTTGTGCCTCTCCAAAATGAAGCTATTTTTTCCCAAACATCCCACATACATAGTGTCACAAGACACAATCAGAGCCTAGCTTGTAGCCCCTCTGTTACTTGCAGACCATTCTTTCCCCTGCTTCTCTTTCGGTAAAAATCCTTTCTCCTTTGATGCTCAGTGCCACCTGGTTTTACCATCCTTCTCCTATAGCCAACCAGCAGCTCTCAGCACTTGGCTCACAATCTTCCTTTCTTCCCTAATACCTGACATAAAGCGATTTTCATGTGGATGACCCATTTAACTCCCTTGAGATGTCTCCCACATTTCTCTTCCACATCAGCCATACACCCCACAGTTATAGGAAACTAATATCACAAGAAACTTACTTCAAAACCTTGAGTTCCCACTCACTTCAAATCCACAACCCACTCCCCTACACTACCTCCTATGCTTCCAGCTCACTTGCTCAAATGTTTCAGGTCTACTTCAGTGACCTCCAATCTGCTTCCTCCAATTCACTTCCTTCCTTAATCAGCTTAATAGTCCCTCCCTTGCCAGCCCCCCCCCCCACTCCTTTGCCCCTCAGCACCACTCTGCCACACTCACCTATCAAAACCTCAATTCTGCAGGAACCCAACCATTCACCTTGTGCTGGCATGAAGGCTGCTAGGCAGAAAATCACACGACTGGCATTTCTTTTCCCTTTAAGTGAATCACAGTACCTTTAAACAGTCCCTGCCTGCCTGGCATTTGTTTCCCTCAGACACTTCTAGCCCCCACAATGACTATTATATTCCATTATTTTCTCCTCAAACCTTTCATTTTCAGCTGATGACATTGAATAAAGTGTATGGCCAGACCTACAAACTTACCTGGTTCTGTATCCGTTTTCTTCCCATCTGTAAAATGAAAAAGTGACTCATCTATCAGAGGCTAATTCATACACTCTGGATCCTATCCCCTCTCACCTTTTTTGTACTTCACACGTTGATCTTCCTCTTTTTCTATAGTATTATTAGTTTATTCTTTACTGCACATCATATGATTTAATACCTTATATCTTAAAAATAAAAAGTTCCTTCCTGAACCACACATCCTCCTCCAGTTTTCCCTTACTTCTTTTCTCATCTTCATAGTTTGTCTATGTGTGCTGTCTCCATAGCCTCATCTCCATTCCCATGCCACTAAAATAGCTCTGATCATGGCTACCTACAGCCTTTTGGTTACTAAGTTGAATCTCACTCAAACTCTCAGTAGCATGTGATTCAGTTGATCACTCTGCTCCTTTCTAGAAACACGCTCATTTCTTAGAAAGAAAATCACACAACACTTTATAAATATTGGAATCTTCAAGGGCAGTCCTGGAGTTCTCATTAGTCTCTATCTAGGTGATTTCATCCATTCCTTGGCTTTGAGTACCATCTCTATGCTGGTGATTGCTAAATTATATTCCTAGGTTAAAACTTTTCTCTAAGCTTGATTCTTTTATCTCTCTATTGATATATCTGTAGGATATCTCCTTTTTTGTATAAAAAAGATATATCTTTTTTTGGTTGTTTTTTCAGACAGAGTCTCAAAAAAGTCTCCAGTCACCCAGGCTGGAGTTCATGGTCTCGGCTCACTGCAACCTCCACCTCCTGGGTTCAAGGATCAAGATATATATATCATTATTTTTAAAGGAGATATTTCATATATATATATATATACACACACATACAAATATATATATATATATATATTTGTTTTGTTTTGAGACAATCTTGTCATCTAGGCTGGAGTGCATGAACTTGGTTCACTGCAACCTCCACCTCCCGGGTTCAAGCAATTCTCCTGCCTCAGCCTCCCAAGTAGCTGGGATTACAGACACAGGCCACAATGCCCAGCTAATTTTTGTGTTTTTAGTAGAGATAGGGTTTCACTGGTTGGCCAGGCTGGTCTTGAACCTCTGACCTCATGATCCGCCCACCTCAAGTCTCCCAAAGTGCTGGGAGAGCCACTGTGCCCAACCATTTTTGTTTTAAATTAAGACAGGGTCTTGCTGTGTTGCCCAGCTTGTTTCAAACTCCTAGGCTCAAGCAATCCTTTCACTTTGGCCTCCCAAAAGTGCTGGGATTACAGGTGTGAGCCACTGTGTTCAGCCTATAGAATATCTCAAAGTTATATCTATAATTTGACTTTTCTCCCAGCTCTTTTTCTTTATTTCTCCTCAATCTTTAAATGGCATGATTATCCACCCAGTTGCTCAGGGCAGAAACATGGGAGTTTTCCTTAATACTCCCTCTCCTCCCTTCCCCTACCCTCAACTCTTAAATGTAGTTTATGAGTACAACCTCTTGGTTTTTGCATCTAATGTGTATCTCTAATTCACTAATTTCTCTCCACTTCTACTGACTCTACCTAGTTGAGTCTCTCATTATCAATTACCTGAACTACAACTGGTTTCCCACTTTCTGCTCTTAACCCCCTCCAACTCATTCTCCATACCAACTCCAGATGAGGTCTATAAAAAATATAATTGATCGGCTGGGCGTGGTGGCTCAAGCCTGTAATCCCAGCACTTTGGGAGGCCC